CGTACTCATTCCGCAGTATTTCAATACACTTCTCACAGTGGACGTACTTTATCACGTTGCATCTCAGTAGATTCAGTCGTGAAATCATCTTTCTGAATTTGAGCATGTCAATTATGAAAATATTACCTGTTATTGTATAAATTCCAATCCAACAGGAAAATGGTTGATATGTTCTGTACGAATGGTCGAACACTTCCAGTGCCACACAAGTTAGCTCACTGTCCATCCTGACTAATTCTCGTTCATCTTCGATTACCACTAATTTCTTGAATTCATCAAATGTCTGATTCTGCTCCAATTGACAATTACAGTTTTCTTCCAGCTTCTCACAAACTTCGATCCTTGGTTTCTCTATGTCTTTGCTTAGCACAGCCTTCACTTCCCCATTACTGAATACGTATACGGTTCCATCGTTGTTTTTTATTTGCTTTGTCTTTTCTTCCAATATTTGTGTAATTCTTGATTCTGAGTCCTTCAATTCTCGTTTTACAGCAACCAGTTTGTCTATCAGCATTTCAGTCTCTGTTTTGCTCATTTCTCCACTGGTGTTCGCTAATCGAATGTAGTTGCTGATTTTACTCAGCAGAACCACAACATCGTCTATGAATGCCATTTATTGGGCAAATTTTTATTATTTAACTGATAGGTTTTTGGTTAATGAGGTAACCAGAATGAACTAAATACCACTTCTGTATCTGAATACTCATCCAACTACTATCGCCTTTTACAACCCATGCTACCGTGGTCCATCAAATACAAACCAACCAAATTCACTGGACTGAAATTCACTAATCAAATGCACGTGGAAGTGTTAAAGTGGTTCAAGAACATGAATGATTGTACAGTCTGCAATGTGAATGGTCCATCTGGGATTGGTAAGAAGACACTTGTTATGATTTGTGCCAGATTGTGCAAATATAATGTAATCGAACTGGATTCAGAGAACATTAAGAAGTTGAATGTGATGCTGAATCAAAATCAAAGGAGTTTGGACAACAAAACAAACTGCCTGATAATTCATGAGGAATTTTTAGAAAATAGTTTTGTATTACGTAGCCTAAAAAAGAGTAGTATTCCAGTGGTTTGTATTACAAATGATGTGTATTTGAAAGAGATCAAGACAATCAAACTCTATAAACCAACGCTGGGAATATGTTTCGAAATACAGGAAATGATATTAAAAAAAGAAGGTATAGTATTACCAAGTCATGTGTTACAAAGAATAGCAGAAGAATGTGACTATGATATCAGATCAATTATCAATAATATGCAATTAATTTGCTATAACGTTGATGATCTGTCTGCTAAAACAGGCAAATTAACTGGATATGAAAACATTTTTGTAAAAAGTAGGCGCATTTTACAGAATAGGATTAAACTCAAAGAATTGGAAGAACTACATGAAATGTATCTGCCAGAGAACATTCTATCTGGAATAGAGGAGAATGTAAAGATGGAGACGTGGTATAAGGCAACATACGCATTATCAGAGTGTGATTGTTTTGAACCTGATTTCAGGTTCTTGAGTTTGAAACCATTATGTAATACAAATTACAAATATAAATATAAACGACGTATCACAACTACAACAGAGAAATACGACAGAGATAGAACATTTTATAGCAAATTGTACCAAATAGATCAGGCCAGGGAACACTTGCAGGACATTCTCAAAAATGTAGAAAATCCAACTGAAATTGAACAGGTGATATTGAAGAAACCAGTTAAAATGAAACAGGTTGCTGAAAACAAGACATTGCGATATGTTTTTAAGAAGACAGCAACCAACGTGATCAAAAAGGACATTTCCTATGCTGAATTCATGGACTTCTGAGTGAACTATTTCTTGAGAGTGCGTTGTTTGGTGCCTGTTTCCACAATCTTCTTTTTAGAAATCATTCCTTTTTCTTCCTGTAACTCATTGATCATATCAGCGAACGACTCATTCACACAGAAGCAACCCTTTTCTAATTCAAAATAGACAGTGCCTTTGCATTCTCTTCTGATGTCTGAGATGGCATTGTGTAGTTGGAACTGTGGTATTTTGCATTCCATGATAAAGAACTCGTTTTCTTCCTCGTAGTTCTCCTTCTCTACGATTGCGTTATATTTTTGGAGTATCCTATACATGATATTCAGGTAATTGTGTAATAAATACACTCTCATGTTATAGTAGTATGCAACAGCACATGGTTTTGATCCAATATACAATGATTCTAATACATTTTTGAATTCGTTGTAATCTGTTTTGCCTGATGATCTTATTGTGAATTTCGTGAATCCAATCTTCTCACGAATCAATGGCCCGTTTTTGCAGAATGCTGCAATGGCACTTTTGATGATTCCTTCACTTTCTTTTGCATATATTTCTATTTCGTTTGATTCCTTATTCGACTCATCAATAGTGATATCAAAATTCTCATTATTCATAGAAACCCTTTGCTTGCAACATTCAATGAATCTTTTTGTGAGACCACGCACTTTGAAATTGAATCCAGCATCCTTCAAATCCTCGCATATTTTGTCAAATTGTAATTCACCAAAACACCCAACCTCAAATTCACAGAATCTGTTTTTTCTAACTCGAAGGCCATTTTCAATTAAAGCGAGCTGTTTAAAGAAGGTCTTCAGCTCTTCTTTCTCTTCGATATTGTCCAGAGCCAGTTTGGTTTTATAGACAGCATTGAATTGTGTTTTTGGTGCAATTGTAAAGGAGTGTTCCCTGGCAAGTGTGGCATTTTGTATAAAGGATCCTCTCACTCCAATGAGCATTCCTTCTTTTGCATTTTGTATCTCCATCAGTTGTTCACCCTTAAATGTGTATATATTGCCTATTTTGATTATTTTCTCATCATTTGTAATTAGTTCATCTCCTACAGTAAAACAACCAGAGATTATCTTGAATATGTGCAATATGTCTTGTTCTTTTTCTACAATTCTTATTGGTATCGCAAATGTGCTGATAGCCTTCAATTCATCTGTACAATTGATAAAATTGATCAAATTTGTCTGTTTCTTCTCAATTTTGTCAAAGCACTGCAACATTTCAAATATGGTCTCTGATAGATTGAACACCTTGTTGAATATCATCTTTCTGTCTACGTTCTTGATATTGTATTTCTTGAGTATGCCATCAACATCCTTCTTTTCTATTTTCTCATCTAGTGCCTTTATACACTTTATTGCGTGTTTTATTGTGTTGTTCTTAGCAGAAACCTTCTCTTTTAAACTGTGATGTGATATTCCCATACATAAAATAGCAGATGTTAATACCACGTTGTTCTTATCCCAGCTAAATATCTCTTCCTTAAGCATTGTATTTATCTTTTGTATGATACTTTCAATGTCAAAGAGTGGGAGTTCCTTGTCTTGTTCTATCTTATTCAGCACTAAAATTGTTCTATTTCTGTCTATGAATTTGATTAAACTGTATGTTCTTGGTGTAATGCCTTCGTTGACATCAATGATCAGAATGAAGTTGTCTGATAGAATAGACGCGCTATAAATGCACTGTTCAAAGTCAGCATGTCCTGGAGTATCAATGAAGAAGTGCTCTTGTATTCTGATTATGCTGTTTTTCATTGTGATTCCTCTGGTCTGTTCATCCCGTCGTGTATTTAGAAGCCGTGCTGTTCCTGCCATTGACTTCGATATGAAGCCGCCGTGTGCTAACAAGCTGTCTACAAATGTCGTTTTACCATGGTCAATGTGTGCTATAACTGATGTTGTATAAAAAGTTGTCTTTCTCATTCTGGGCAATTTATGCTATTATTTTTGTAGGACTATTGTTGGATATATTGCACTTTTACCCTTTTTTCGACAGTGTAGCAAAGTGGTTAACGCGGTAGATTGCTAATCTATTCTCTTTAAGAGGCGCGGGTTCGAATCCCGTCGCTGTCGTTTTTATGTTATCTTCTTTTTCCCTTTTATGATCGCACCCAAGTCGTAGTGCGCAAAGCCATTCTCTGCAAACCACGTCTCAAGTGCTGGTCTCAGTGTCTTATTCTTGGTCTTTCGCCCAGTTACGAAATTTATCTCTTTGAAATTCCACTCTCTGTACAAATCTTCTACGAAATCCAATGCTTCTTTTACATAGAGTCTATGCAAGTCTATCAAGCACGATTTTGTTTCCTTGCTTTGGTATTCTGTATTTTGATTCCTGTTTTCTATTGCCTTTTTCATAACCAATATTGCTGCATATCTATTCATTTTATCACGTTCTTCTCTTTTTTTATCTGCTTCTATTACGTATTCAATTCCAAATAGCTTGTTTCCTGATCCCTTTAGATCCAATGCATGTGCTTCGTCTTGTAGTTGTGATGCTCTTATCCGTATTTGATCAACATCGTCGTAGTTCTTGTACTGTCCATCATTTGCAAATACTTCTGGATAGTGTAATTCCTTCTTGTATACTCTTCTATCATATCGTATAGCTGCTATGTCTTTCACATCTATTATGAGTGGTTTGTAGTTGTTATCCAACACACGTGTTATCAGTACATTTATGTCGTCGTTAGTGGACACCAAGAAGTCTAAATCTTCTTCCTTTAGAAACCGAAACATTTCTTTTAGTGCTTCTCTTTTTTCTTCATTTTTCATTGCGGGGCTTTCTTCTCCAAATATTATTCAATTGCTACAAAAAGAACCCATCATGAACAAAAAGACAGACAGGAAACCAGGTAGCTTCTTACAGAACAAGAAGAACACAATAAACAAGAAGACCAACACCGTTCCAATTGCATCAATAAAGAAAGAAGCAGATAAAGAACCTGTTGTTACTGAAATTGCAGTGCAACTAAAAGAAGAAGTTTTGCCTACAAATCAGGCAGAAATAAAATGTGAAGAATGCATTGAAGACACAGAGAATAAAATCAATGAGAGCATCTCAGATGACCTCAAAAATGTACTCGCAGACAACGAGGTACAGAAACAGCTTGATTGTGTGAATGATGCTATAAAGGAGATTGAAGAGGATGCAATTGCAGATATGAGTTTGTTTGATGACAACCTGGAAGATTTTTACGATAAAACTGTTCATTTGGTTGAAAATAAGCATAAAACACATAAAAGAGAATCAACAAACATATCCATGCTGGATAAGATTGAATTCAAGGATGACAAAAGTAGTCTGGAAACGAAAGAGAAGAATACGACGATCATTTCTGATCCATCATCTGTCTACGTCAAGACCATGCTCGATCTGTTTGAAAACATGAGTCTTAAGGTGAATCAGCTCATCAAAACAAAGACATTTGAACAAAAGCTGATTGAAGAATGCTACAAGTTTGCCATTGCTGGAGAACACTCCAAGATTGAAGAGACCATTGACGCATACGTTCAACCAAATCAGAAGAACACGCTACTCATTCAACACATTGCAAATGATGTGCCTAGAGAACTCGTTCATGTTTGCACAATGCAGAAAGAAATGGCTAAAAAGGTTCATGAAGCAGAACACGCCTGTAAATTAATCATACGCAATTCAGATCGGATTGAAAGAGAAAACACAAACCTGGTTGCATCGATTGAGCAAATTAAGGCGGATTGTGAGAAAATATGCAGTAATCTGATCGGAGAAAAGACGAAATTCAAAGATAACCTGATTAATTTAATTAAGGAACATATGGATATTAATAATATGCTCGAAATGAATGTGGTTGATTCATTCAAAGAAATCATAGGAAACAAGGAGAAGGAGATTGAAGACAGAAAGAGAGAAACTACCAAACAGAAGCAGACAATTGCAAAACTGGAACAATTTACTAAGGAGAATGATCCAAGTGAGTTGCACAGAACAATTGGTGAATTGAATAAGAATATCAAAAAACTGCAGCAGGAGAACCTCGAAATAAGCCAAATCAGTAACAAACTCACTGAAAAGAACTTCAGGTTCCAGAAGGATCTCGTCATGTTCAGCACCGAGATTAAGAAGCTGATTGCAAGTGATAAAATCAAAACAGAAACCATTTTAAGGCAAAAGAAACTCATTGAAATGTTTCAGGAGAAGTTGACGAGCAATACACAGCTCTATGGAACAAAAGGTGAAAACACGATACGTGCATTGAAAAGTAGACGGGATGAAATCAAAGAAAGAATCAAAAGAGAGGTCAATTTGCATAGGAAAGAGCAACTCGAAAAAGAACAGGCTGATTGTGAAAGAAGACTGAGTGATTTACTGAAAAGAGTCCATTAGTTGCCTCAATAATAATGCTATCAAGTTAAACATGTTTACTCCTTCCTGAATAGCTTCAGTCCTGTCTCAATATCGTCGTATTTGTAATCAGTTTCACCAACCTGATTCACACAACTTTCATTCTTCCTGAAATCAATCTCGTTCTTGTAGTGATCTCCAATGACTCTCTCGAATTTATCACGCACTGCCTTGTTTTCAATTTCAACCACAATTTTATCAGAGACTTTGAGCTTGAGATTCTTTCTCATCTTCTGCACAAATGAGTAGAAATCACGAGCAAATGACATTTCTCTGATCAGGTCGTTTTCAGTCACATCCAATACCAATCCCACGCTATTTGAATTGATTTGACAGACACATGAATGATCCACGCCAACAAATTCAGTCTCAACCATAATCTCATTTGATTTGACCAGTGGATGCTGGTTGTCTTGGATAGTCTTCAATTCCTGTTTGTTCAATTTGGTGATGATATCAATTTTCTGTTTCATCTTTGACTTATCCTGGCTGAGTATCCGATAATTTGGCTTGATTCTGTGTTCAACCTGATTGGCTTCCAACTCTTCTACAACAACATCAAGCACATTACACTCGTTCTTGATGACTCCCTCGTACTTGGCTACCAATTTGGTCACTGTATCAAGTTCTGACTTATTCACGGCCACTTTTATCCTCTTCAAAACGCGCCTGAGTTTCAACGAATGCTTTTCACGTAGGTGCCTGATGCCCTCAATGATCTCCTTTGCAAATCCAAAATCAGTTTCGAAGCATTTTGCAGGCGGAATCATTTCAAAATGGACACTTTCCATCTTGGAATCGTCTGAAATGCTCTGGTAACTGTATTCAGCAAAGAATGGCGTAAATGACGCCATTGTGATTGAGAATCTTTTGATGATTTCAGCTAGGTATTTCCCACCACTCTTGAGTTCCTTTCTGTTGATTCTGATGTACCAATTGCTCAGGTTGTCAATGAACTTCAATATCGAATCCAATACGCCATTGAGTTTGTATGACGCCATATGCGCATCAATCTCAGAGATGAACGAATTCAATTCAGATTCAATCCAACTATCTAGCAATGTATTGGTTGCAGTAACACTCTTCTTTGTCTCATTGTAGAACAATATGATATTGTGCCACGGTATCAGGACAGTCTTGAGCATTTCCCTTACACCTGATTCATTAAATCGTAAGTTTTCTGCTGCCACAACTGGAGAGCTGATCAGATACAGTCGCAATGCATCTGCACCGTATTTCTTGAAGATCTCATGTGTGCTTGGATAGTTCTTGAGTCTCTTGCTCATTTTCTTACCATCATCTGCCAATACAATTCCATTTACCACCACATTCTTGAATGCTGGAGAATCAAAGAGAATGGTGGATATCACATGGAGGGTGTAGAACCATCCTCTGGTCTGATCCAATCCTTCTCCAATGAAATTGGCTGGGAAATTCGTCTTCGTCAACTTTTCACCTGATTCTCCAATTCCATCCAAATTGTCCTGGGCATATGGCATTGATCCACTCTCAAACCAGCAATCAAGCACTTCTTCAATTCTCCTGTATTTCTTTCCATCCCTTTTTATCACAATGTCGTCTACAGTCTCCCTGTGCAAATCAGCCACTTTCACTCCACTCAATTCTTCCAATTCTTTCACTGATCCAATACAAATCAAATCATTGTAGTCGTAACAAGCACCTTCAAACCTGGCCCATATTGGTAGGGGTGTTCCCCAAAATCTGTTTCTTGAAACAGCCCAATCCTTTGCTGCTGCAAGCCAATTGTGGAATCTCTTGTATTTTATGTCCTCTGGAATCCAATTTATCTTCTCATTCTGCTTCAACAGCTCCTCTCTTGTCTCCTTAACTCGGATGAACCAATTTGGAACCAGTTTGTACATCAGTGGCGTATCTGACCTCCAGCAGAATGGATACGAGTGCACAATGCGACTGTTCATCAACAGTCTCTCCTTCAGAATGGACAATATTATTTTATCAGCGTCCTTGAAATAGAATTCCTTCAGTGTCTTTTCCAGCTTCATTTCTACTCTCATGTATTTTTCCAATGGAATTGTGAAATTGCCATTTTCATCAACGTGGCATGGTACAACCTCATCGGACTGGAGAATATTCTTGCTTAGAAATGTGGCATAGTCGTCCTCTCCAAACGCAGGCGCACACTGCACAATTGCACTTCCATTTTCCTCACTCACAAAGGCAGCATCAATTGTCCTGAAACAGCCCTTTGCCCTGTATTTCTCGTAGCACGTGAATGGTTGCTCGTATTCCACTCCTACGATCTCTGCTCCAGATATTTCTGCAATTATTTTGTACTTCTTGAAGTAGGCACCAATTCTATTACTGTGAATAATGTAAATGTTGCTGTAGTCTTCTTCCAAATAGAAGAGCGCATAGGTGAATTTGGAGTTCAAACAGAGTCCAAGACTGGCCGGAAGTGTCCAGGGAGTTGTAGTCCACGCTACAAATGAAATGGTTGCATTATGCACAGTCTGATTGCACTTCTTCAGAATCGCATCTCTGTCTTCTTTGTGTAGCACTGGGAATCGCACCAGAATGCTTGGATCACTCACATCCTTGTAGTTCTGCGATGCTTCGAAGTTTGATAGCGGTGTCTTGCATGCTATGCTAAATGGCATTATTTTGAATCCCCTGTATATTTTGTTCCTATCAAAAATGCTCTTGAAAATGAACCAAACTGATTCCATGAATTTCATATCCATTGTCTTGTAGCCACCTTGGAAATTAACCCAACGACCCATTCGATCCACGACCTCTTCCCACTCACTGGTGTATTTCTGTACAATACTCCTACAATGATCATTATACGCCTTAATTCCCATTTCATGCACCTGATCCCTGGTTGTGATCTTCAGCATTTTGTCGATTTCGTATTCCACAGGCAGCCCATGACAGTCCCATCCGAATCTTCTCTCCACGTGGTGTCCTTTCTGGTAGTAGAATCGTCCCACGGTGTCCTTGATTGTTCCACTTAGAATATGACCATAATGTGGCAATCCTGTTGCAAATGGTGGGCCATCATAAAACACGTACCTCTTTCTCTCCTTGCTCAGCTCATTTGACTTCTCAAAGCACCTGTTCTTCTTCCAGTACTTCAGTGTCTCCTGCTCCTGTTTTGAAAAATTGAAGTTTTCGTCAGACATGGGATAAAAAGGCAAATTTTGATTTATTGATCTGCTAAAATGGGCCTGAAAAGGTGGCTGCAGTTGCAATGAATGTATTAAAATGACTAAAATAAGTGTTGGGTGCACTGCCTATTACAGATACTGATTTCATTCTTATAGTTCTCATTCACAAAATACCATTTCTTTTTCAGTCACTGTTTGATAGGAGTGTCACTTTTAGTGATCTTACGAATAGTCACTGCTTCTACTCAACACATTAACAGATTCTTTACATTTGTCCCACGTTATATTATTGATCAATTTTTTCAAAAACTTCAAGAACGCTGATACGTCAAACAAATTTATGAACTATCAATTTTGAAAAGTTTGGTGATCATTTGTTCTTAAATCTTAATATAAGATATATTCTCTACAGGATACACAAATAACGCACTTTGTATTGATCAAAAATAAAAATTTGGGTATTTAAACAAAAACCGTTATTAACCCATGTTATTATGGTTTATTGATCTGGTACTCTCTGCAGCTCGCACGCAACTGTTAGTTAATGTTAGCCATATGCACCTGTTGAACAATTTCACTGCAATGATAATAATGCCTATTGTGTCTTATCGTTATGACATTGATAGACTCAATGCCGACCTGGAATCTAAGTATAACGAGTTCATCAGTTTGACTAATGAGGAGAAGGGAGAGATAATCAAAAGAGATTATGATGAATTTCTCAATCTGTTGAAACAGATCGATAAAAACAAGGCAGCAAAAGACATGGATGAGTATGAAAACAACATGGTGTATCTTGGTACAAATTGTAGATCATTAGAAATGGTTGAAGCAAAATACAATGAATTGTCAGAGAGTTTTAACAGGTTGAAGAAGGCAAATGAGACACTTCACAACCAACAATTGGATTTTATGAATTGTCGGCATTATTTCGTAGCGGTAAAGCAACATTACAGAATGTGTCAAAACAGTGAAGAAGTGGGTGATGATGATTCGCTTGACATAGAACACTTCTATTCCGATGAGAGTAGAGTGTCATCAGATAACGATCTAATTGAAATTTTCAAGAATGTTGATAATCTGGTATCTGTGCTCATCAATATAGAAAAACTCCTAAAGACTCTTAGAAAGAAGAAAACGAGTCTGATTACCGATTTCATAACAACACTTACTGTGTCAAATTAGTTGGCATATTAACTGAGCCTAGTTCACAGTATCTAAGGCTGTTGGTATTGATGCATTAAATTGGCTATCATAACCCCCAATTACATCTTCTTACTCTACCACAAATCTTGTTGTTGAGTAGAAGCAAGTGACTATTCGTAAGATCACTCCTATCAAACAGTAACCAAAAAATAAATGGTATTTTGTGAATGAGAACTACAAGAAGGAAATCAGTATCTGTAATAGGCAGTACACCCACCAGTGACAACACCCAGATAGTCAATTCCAATACAATTCATTACCGTATTATTCAATACACCTTCACATAATTTTTATTCCCTAAATGTCTGATGAGCCAAATAAAAATGATATCGATGAAATGGTAAGACGCATCTGCGACAAGCAGGCGGTGGAAGCAATGGAGATACTGGGACTAGCAAACAAAAGCAGAGCAGAGCGTGTGAAACAGGCTGTGATTGAACACTTCAAGAAATTCAACCGAATTGTGAGCATTGTGGAATACAAACAGATTGTGAAGGAGACACACGAAAGCCCAGAAATACGAATAGCACGCAAAAGTGACAGCTACGACGACCTGGCCAGCATCGAAGACCTGGAATGAATGCTCCATAATTTACTTGAAATATTTCTCCTCGTACTCATTCACAACCTGCTTGTGGCTCTTGCTGATCTCCTCATAGGCCCTTTTGACTGAATCTGGTGGATTTGTGCTGTGATATCTGCACAAAACGTACAGACACATCTTGGATGGATTTGCCTTGAGATTGGCACGAAATGAATCCATGTGAATTCCACAGAAGTCGACTGACCTGAGCCCAGTCACATTCACGTCAGTCCCCAATGCCGTGTTTCCCTTGATGAATCCACCAAAGAGGTTCTTGAGTCGCACGCAGTAGGCTGGCACACTCTGAATGAGTTGCACCGAATACTTCTTCACAAACATCTCCTTAGTCACGAAATAGTCGTAGAGCATCTTCTCGTACTTCTCGCAGTGGCGAAGTGTCTCAAACAGCTCGCATGCGATCCACATCGACTCGTTGTCTGCGCAGCTGTCGAAGAACGGCTGGCTCACGACCTCGATGAACTGGGCCCCGAATCCTGGATAATTTGTGGGGCAAATTATTTCGAGTATTTTGAATACAACGACCCTGACTCCCCTGGTGTCCTCAACTGGAATTGTCTCAAGCCACTTCGTCAGAAAGCGGCAGTAGAACATGTTGAACAGGGGCATGTTCTTCCTGTACGCCTGAATCAGAAACTCAAGTGACTGGTGGATGTGCTTCAGGCCGCCCTTGTTCACCAGAAGTGCCAGAATGTCGATCTTGAAGTAGCGGTAGTTGCCGGAGTAGAGGACGAAGTGGTTCCAGCTGCTTTTGAATGCCGCGTTGAAGTTGAGTGGCTCCGTCCTGTACGCCTCCCTGAACTTGGCGTACAGGTCGGTCGTAGACTGAAGGAAGCCGAGCTGGTTCACGAAGTCGTCGAAGATGTTTCGGTCTTCCGTCACGTTGAAGTCGAGCATTGCGACCTCGATCTTCTTCAGAAACTCGAGACACTCCGTGTGGTAGTCTGCCTTCTTGCTGATTGCCTCGATGGTGTAGATGAAGTTGTAGATCGAACAAAGCACCTTTGGCCCAAACAGAATCTGATCCAGCAGGTGCAACGAGAATGTCAGGTACTCGGTGCCCTTCTCTTTTTGGATGAATTTGGACAGGGCCTGATCGTACTCCTCGATGAAGATGAAGTTGTACTGGATGAATTTGGTGACGAGACGGGTGTTACGCGACTCATCGTCTGCGTAGATCAGCCAGTTCACGGTCTCCTTCTTCGTCTTGTTCGAGATGATGAATATCTTGTACAGGAATTCAAAGACGAATTCATCGGCACAATCAGTCTTGATGGCCTGGCCCACGAGATACTTCGACAGGTTCACACAGTCCTCGTCCCTCGTAGGCGACTTCGTCTCGATGTAGTGGAAGAGCCGCTTGAAGTTCGCGTGCTTCTCAGGCCCAAGCAGGGCCGGAAACTCCTCAAAAATGTAGTTGGTTTTCTTCAGTGGAATTTTGCGCCCAAGTTGAATCAGGTGGCTTTTGATCTCCTGGTACTCGTTGTTCTCAATTTTACGAAGGGACTTCTTCTCCTGAAACTGAATCGGATTCGTTAGAGCAGCAATCTTCCCAGTCTCACTCTTCTGGCTGTTCAGCAGTTGGAAGCCCTCGCTGTCTGCCGCCGAATCAAGAAATCGCCTGATTCTGAGGGTGAATGAGTCGCTCTTCTTCAGGCTGCCGCTGAATTCAGCAAATTCACGCTCAGCCTGCTCACCAGCGCGGGTGATGGCCACCTTCTCAATCAGCTCAGTGCACATGTCGATGTTGTCGTTGATCAGTTTCATGGCCACGTCCTCAGGAAGCGTGTTCAGGGACAGCTTGAAAAAGTGGAGCAGATTCGAGTACATCGCATTCTTCAGCACCTCAAATGTCGTCAGATACAGCATCGCCTTGAGCGTGTTGATCACGATGTTCGTGAAAAGACCCTGCTCGTTTCCAGCCGTTCTCTCCTCGTAGCACACGGTCGCATACATCGATTTCGCTATTTCAAAGGTGACTGCTATTCCACTTTTCAGCACTTTTGTGGCTGTTTCACGGGTTGAGAAGTTCAAAGCCGTTGAAACAACTTTTTTCAGGGTCCTTAAATCAGCTGCTCCATCCAACTCCCCCAGTGCACCAAAGTTGTAGTTGACCAGGTTCATTTTGAGCTGTTTGGCTCTGCCACTCTCCAACTCCAGTCCAAATCGACTGAATGTCTCGCGTATGTTCCCCCTGACTCCCTTCAATGTGCAGAAATAGAGCTCATTCAGCAGCTCCAGGACGCCAATGACCCACGGGTTGTTGGGCTGGTAGACAAGGCCCTCTTTGCCCTGTTGGATGAATTTGCTGATGAAACCGATGCTCGTTGAAATGCGCCTGTATTCGATTGATCGCAGAATGTAGTTCTTGGCGTCGAATCGGTCGAAGAGAAGCAGCCTGTTTCTGGCCAGAATCAGCCTTCCTAATACGTCACCAAGGTTACACGAATATGTTACGTCATCTGAGAATGAAATCAGTCCCATTCTGGTAACCATTTCAAATGCACTGGCCGTGAAGGCGTCAAAGAAGTCCTCGTTCTGGCATTGGACGAATTCAACAACCAGGCTGCTCTCCTTGGCCAATACGCTGAAGATGGCTGCCAGTATCACATTTCTGGCATACAACGAACACACCCTGACATTCTCAGCTGCTACGCAATTCCTGCTCGTGTAAATGATTTTGTTGAATGTCATCACTTCCTTACGCATGTGCTCTACAATCCGATCAATGTTCATCTGCTTCAATTCCGCCTTGGTGATGCTCTCGATGATCTTCTCCAATTCAACAATCTCCTCTGGCTCCTCGTCCACGATGATCAGATCCTTCTTGATCAGCCCACTCTTCACGTTCTCCAGTGATTCGAGATCAGCAAATATTTCTGGATCATTCCCATAGAACACCTCGATGACTTTGAATGCAAATGTGTACTCCCTGTCACAACTTGGTGACATCAGTGACTTCTTTAGCATCCCAATAGCCGTCTTAATGAACGCATACTGCCCAATCTTCTTTCTGATGAGCTCTCCAAAGAAACTTGCTATCATTTCTGAATTGGCCAGTTTGAATAGACCACTGTAGTTCTCAATCAGCAGATTAAACACATTTTTGCCCATTGAGGCGTCTTCTGATTTGATCAGCTGTTCCAGCTTGTTCGTGGTTGCCTCCACCTTCATGTTCGATTGGATGATTTCAGAGAGAAAGAGGGTGGCACGATCTGCTGTTTGCACCCCATCAACTGCCAGTGTCCTGATCTGATCCAATTTCGCCTTATTCGCCTCATTCAACTCCATGCGACCAGCATCACTCGAATCAATTGCTTTCGTGATCGTGTGAATTGTCGCCTTGTTGAATGGAAACAGCTTGTCCTTTCCTGTCTTCATCACCCTCTGGTAGAAATATTCAACAAATTTGTTGTAGTTCTTGATGTTGTTGATTGTCCAATATTCCAAATTCAGGTGATCTCTCCTACTACACAAAATGATCAGATCGTAGCAGAACTCGTATGGCATCATTGTATTCGTCACCAGATTCAGCTTCTTGTGCTCCAGCAGAATATCAAGTGTCTTCGTCAGATTCAGATCAATCTTCTCTAGCAGAAAGAGAATGTGCTCCTTGTACCTCTCAAAAATGATGTAAATGATGAAGTGGTTGGTAGTTCCCTCAAAGAACGTCTTCAGAAGAGACAGCCCCGTCTCAATCAGAAATGCATCGTCTTCATCTGTTTTCCTACCATCGTAAAATGCCTGGGGACTTACGACTGAAAATATTCCAAGAAGCAGGTATTCAGGGTGTTTCACCCTCAGCAACTCCACCAGTTCCCTCTGGCTCTTTATGTTTGCGTGTAATTCAAGGCAGTTTGCATTGCAATCAAACTCAACTGTCTTCTTGTGCTTGATCTTGAACTCGTCTTTGGATATCAGTTTGGTCAGGAAGATGTTGCCAGACAGGTTGATGTTTCCAGTTGAGTTTTCTACAACAATTTTGTAGAAGTTGCCTGCGTTGCTCTGGCTGAGACTGCCTGCTTTGGTGAAGAATATGTCAAATGGAATTGTGGTGCTACTGCTGGTAGTCTCCCAGCAATCAACGAGTGTCTTCAGGTAATTCACGTTCGCAAGCTTCTTGTTTCCTTCTGTAGCGTAATCGTAGACAGTTCGCCAGTTTATTCCTGCGAATATCTCACGTGTGGCATCAAGAATGTCCTTAAGTGGCCAGTTTCTATGAGACGTATCACAGAAGAACTTCAACATATCAGCCACCTCCTCCAACTCGACGTTTCTGATCATCTTGAGCTTCCCAAACTCGTTCTTCATCTCTGACTTCACCACATTTGGGTATTTACTGTCCACTATTTGCGTCAGATTCTCGTACTTCAAATTTGTATACATGGGGTCAAAATAAAAAAATCATTTTGTAATCAGGTGCATCTAAAATGATTAATTCTACGCTAAAAATGTCAGATTGTCTCTGATTAATGTAGCCAACGCATCTGCTTCAACTTTGGTTCTGGAAATGTCACCTGATGAGTTATTGCACCAACCCAATTTGTAAAATGGCTTATTTCCAGGCTTCTTGTAGTCACAATTCGGAATGAATCCAATACTACTGATCACTGTATCATATGCGTTATTAAATATCTTGTTGTCTGTTTTATATGTCACATTTTTGCCATCACTTTTGATGAATTGTGTATTGAACAGGATATTTAGATTGGGTTTGCCTGATTTGGCTGGTTTCTTGATTATTTCTTTGCGTCTCCTGTCTATTCTGTTCTGAGGATCCAACTGATCAATATCCTTGATATTGTGTGAAATGTTGTATTTTGCTTCAATATCACTCAGGTTCAAATTGCTAAATTTGGCATTGAATAAATCTGATCTACAGAGAATCGTTGCTTCTTTGATTTTGGTATTCAAAACTTCTAGTAAATCCATTGCTACGTTTCCTGCTCCAACAATACACACATTTTTACCAAGATCAAACTTCACTTTGTTGAAATGCTTCTTGATGATGTCATATGCACATTGTGTGTTTTCTAGTGGCTTTTTTGCTGTTGCACCAGTCGCTAACACAACCGCATCTTCTTTCAAATCATTTAAATTGTCTATTTTACTGTTTTTAAACAGATTCACATTCTTCTTCTCTAAAATTGCATCAAATAGTTTTGTTTTCAACTCTTTAGCGTATTTGTAGTGTCCCAAGACGCTATTTGATGCTTCGTACAAATTTACTTTGGCAAAATCACTCAGATACCCTGCCAGAAACAAGCCCGCTGGTCCAGCTCCCACTATCGCAACTGTTTTCATTTTTAAGCTCCTTCTTTTTCTACTTTTTTTGATTCCTTCTATATAATACTCTCAAAGGCGTCTTCAATTTTATCACTCAGCTCTTCCAGATGACTCATCATCTCATCATTAACCAGCACAAACTTCATCTGCGTCAATCCAAAGAACTCCTCCTTTGTTTTCTTCATCAGGTCCGCCCACGTCATTTTAGCCAATGCCTTTACGCTCAATCGGTAGAACAACATGGTATTCTTCAACATAATCTGTGTCTTATCAAATGGACAATACTTGTCATAGGCAGAGTATCCATTCTGCTGCAGGAAGTCCTCCTTGATGACTTTAGCAATGTCCAGAACCAACTTCTCCAACTCACTCAATGAATTCTTGCCAACCAATTGCACTATTTCATCAATTTCTTTATCATATTGCAATATTTCCTTACAAAGTGAAACATCCTGTTTGTACGCCTCATCGTGATCCAGTGATTCCAAATACTTTGAATAGCTCACATTTGTGTTGATTGAAGGGAAATGCTTTCTTTGAGCCAGCTTCTTGTCTAGGCCCCAAAAGACCTGGACGATGTTCAAAGTTGATGATGTCACGGGATCAGAGAAGTCTCCACCTGGTGGTGACACTGCCCCAACAATTGAAACTGATCCATGTGATCCATTCTCATTTTCAACATATCCAGCTCGTTCGTAAAATAGAGCCAGTCTCGCACTCAAATAGGCAGGATACCCGCTGTCTGCAGGCATCTCAGCCAATCTCCCAGATATCTCACGCAATGCCTCTGCCCATCTGCTTGTGCTGTCTGCCATCATTGCCACATTGAATCCCTGATCTCTGTAATATTCTGATATGGTTATGCCGGTGTAGATACTTGCTTCTCTTGCTGCCACAGGCATGTTGCTTGTGTTTGCTATTAGAACAGTTCTGCTCATGATACTGTTCTCTGTACTGTTTATTTTGAGCTTCGGAAACTCCATCAGTACTTCTGACATTTCGTTACCTCGTTCCCCACAACCAACATAAACTATTACGTCACTATTCGAATACTTGCTTAGGCTCTGTGAAATAACAGTTTTACCACAGCCAAATGCACCTGGAATTGCCATGGTTCCGCCTTGTACAGCTGGAAATAGCGAATCAAGTATTCTTTGACCTGTGAACAGCTGATTCTTGGCTCTTAGTTTCGTTTTGACTGGTCTTGGTTTCCTAACTGGCCATGAGTGATACATATAGATCTCTTCACATGTTCCATCAGACTTCTCTACAGTAGCAATCGCATCTTGATGAGTGTAGTTTCCTTCTGCTGCTATAAATGTCAATCTACCTGTTGTTTCTGGTGGTACTAATACTTTTACAGTCATCAATGAATTTTCAGGTACTTCACCTAGCATAAAACCACCATAAACAGCCTGATTGGATTGGACAACAGGAATGAAATGGAATTCTCTAGTTCTGCTCAGGCTGTTGATTTCAATGCCACGTGGGATGTAGATTGATCCAGACTTCTCTCTGATGCATTTTAATGGTCTTTGTATTCCATCATAGATGTTCTCAAGTAAACCAGGTCCTACTTCCACACAAAGTGGCATTTTTGTCCTCAATATGATATCATTGACTTCTAGCCCAGATGTCTCCTCATATACCTGAATAGTGGCCTTATCGTTCTCAATCCTTATTACTTCTCCCATTAGATTCCTCTTGCCCACCTTTACAACCTCGTACATTGATACACCCATCATATTTCTTCCCACCACTACTGGACCACTGATAGTCTCAATACGTCCTTGTTCAGTCTCCTTCTGGTCTAAGTCCAACTGTTTGACTATTTCTGAGAGAATTGTGTTATCGCCAAACATCCGTGGTTGAACACAAACAAAATTATTCAAGTAAACAAATAAACAACGTGCATCAAATGAATAGAATGACACAATGCTATCGTAGATGGTACAGAAACAAGTATTTTATGACAATGGAAGCAATATTGAACTAATTAGGGTTAGCAAATCACCTTTCTCAACCATAATGACGTAATATGAATAGAATGGTTTTCTGCCTATTCAATAAAATAAGGCCATTCACACCCAACAAGAGTTCCCTCCCAAAAAGTAGAACAAAAATATCACAAGGTGACCCAATGATTGTTAGAATACCTGAAGCATCTGTCAGAAGACTCAAAGCAGAACAATACATCCACAATACGTACATGATCACCAAAGAATTAGTTGAAAATGCACTAGATAGCTGTAGTACGATAATAATGGTTTCTGTTAAACACAATGAAATAATTGTAGAAGACAATGGAACTGGAATAGCAGAAGACTCATTGAATTTACTTGGTGAGTTTGGATGTACTTCTAAGCACAATACAACACACAGTATGCTGAATCTAAAACAAAATTCAAATGAAACCTATGGATTTAGAGGTCAGGCACTCTATTCAATAGCATCAATGTCTGATCTAACAATCAGAACATCAAGCAATGACGGAGGAATTGGATTCAATAAGGAATTTAAAACTGGTAAAGTTGAACAGATCACTAAACAGAAAGGCACAACAGTTCAAATCACTGAAATATTTAATAAGTGCCCTGTAAGAAAGACTATCAACAACAAGGCGTATAGAAGAAACATCACTCAAATTGGTGAATGGCTTGAAGGAATCTGTGTTGTTTATTCAGGAACAATCATATTCAAATACACTGATAACAAGAAGGAGAAAGAAATAGTTTACAAAGGGTGTGGTGATAATTTGATCACATTCCTCAAGCAGAAGTTTGGCAACCATCTGTTGCAGTACAAAGATGAGTTGTTTGATATATACTTCTTTCCACAATCAGTCATATCAACTAGTCTGATGTTCTACGGACGCAGGTTGATCAAATCCAATCTAAGAAATGTGATTGATAAGGCAGTTGCAAAATATACGGATAACAAACCAACACACGTTTTATTCATCAAAGATGTCTGCGATATCAACATATCAGTTGATAAGAGTGAAGTGATAATTAATAACAGGGATCAGATTGAAAACACCTTGAAGAGACAAATTGAAATATTCATGGAAAACAGTAGACACGTCGATTCACTAACAATCACCAGAACAGTTGAAGAAGACAAAATCATCAAAATAGCAAACAAATTGATTGAACAGCCTGTGAATACATTCAATAGGCAGAAGACGATAGCAACACCAGTTCAGAGCAACTGGTTTAAACCAAAAGTAGAACCAATCAACGCAAAACAGGAAGAAAAAGAGGAGATTGTTGAACAACCTACCCAAATCAAGAAACAAAAAGTTATCAGGTCGAGAATTGAACTCGACTTGGTCGTAGAGAAAGCTGATTTCACTAAAATGGAAATCATTGGGCAAATGAATGCTGGATTCATTCTATGCAAATTAGATAAAACAACTAAGAAATATCTGATATTGATAGATCAGCACGCAGCAGATGAAATCAAGAATTACGAATGCATCAAGAGACAGTTTAATATCACAAAACAAAAGCTGATTAATAAGGTCAGTCTGAATCTCAGCCAATATCAGAGAATGTTGGTTGATGAAAACATATCAGTTTTCAATAGAAATGGATTTGAAGTGGAATTTGATGATTCTGCTGCCTATTTGACATCCGTACCATTTTACAAGGACAAATGCTTCACTGCTGATGACTTCTACAACCTACTTAACAAAATCAATGATTCTGATGATTTGGACGAATGCGCCTGTGATAAATTCAATGAGATCATGGCATCTAAGGCGTGTCGAAGCAGCGTAATGATCAGCAAACACCTCAGTCAGAATCAAATGGAACAGATCGTTAGGAATTTAGCTCATCTGAAATTGCCTTGGAATTGTCCCCATGGTAGACCAACATTCATCGTCCTAAAAGAAATGGCTCATTGATTAAATCAGAATTTATTTATCACTTGTTTAATAATTGATCAGATGCTGCTTGATAGTACATCAGTGAGTGCCGCAATCGTAAATTTCTTCGATGTTGATCCGATTTCAGTCTGAATTTTAAGTAGCGTCTCGAAATCAGCTGCGGATGCTACGAAATCAACAACAAATCCCTTTCTGTTGAATCTGCCTGTTCTACCAACTCGATGAATGTACGTTTCAGTGGAATTGTCGTACATGCTGGATGGGAGATCAAAGTTGATTATCAAATTCACCTGTGGAATGTCCATTCCCCTTGAAAACACGTCAGTGGTGACGAGTATTTTGGTCTTGGCTTGTGCGAAATTGGTTAAAACCGAATCACGTTCTTCAACTGGCACTTCCCCATGCAATTTGGACACTTTGAATCCGTCTTTCTCAAATACGCCTGTGATGATATTCACCATCTTTCTTGATCCAACAAACACAATCGCCTGTGCAACAGTCAGCAACTCCAACAGCGACTTCAATGCCTCGATCTTCTTCGTCTTGTCCATTTCAATGTAAAACAAACTGATGTTTTCAGCCTTCTTGTTTTCCTTAAAGTGGTTTATGCAATTGGGACTAAGCATTTTTACAGCTTTCTGACTTGTTTCTGAATATGTCGCACTGAAATAGATCTTCTGGATTCCTTGCAGCTCCTTGAACAGTTTGATGGTCTGAACTCCAAATGTTCTGCTCGTTATCATCTGGTCTGCCTCGTCAAGCACCACCATTTTCAGGTTCTCTTTTTTTATTGCCCCTGAATTCACCATATTAATTATTTTAGCTGGGCATCCAACTACGACCTCTTCATTCACCAGATCTGTCTTATACTCGCGTAGAGCACAGCAGACACCAATTTCAAGCTGACTGGCCAGCTGCATGACAACACTGCTGACCTGTAGATTCAACTCACGTGTTGGCGTAATTATTATGGCCTGGCAACCAGAACCACGTTCTACGCGACCAAGAACACCGGTTGTGAATCCAATCGTCTTTCCTGTTCCAGATGTGCTATGAAATGCGCAATCCTTTCCAGATAGAATGATTGGTATCGCTGTCTTCTGAATTTGGGTTGGTTTATCAAGACCCTGGGAATAAAGAACTTGTACCAGTGAATCACTAAGGCCCAATACTTCGAATTTCTCATCAGCAAGCAGAACATTCCCATCTTCCAGTTGCTTGGAATACATTGTATTTACATCAATCTGTGACACAGTTGCCGTGTCATTCTTGATGCTATGGAATAATTCGTGTGCAACTTCCTTTTCAGTTTGCATGGGCTAAAAGTTTTCGTATTTTCAAAATAGTTGAAATCAGAGATGTTTACTACAGCAGACAACAAGCAAGGAATCTGTCCACTGCCTCGTCCAATAGTGTTCCATCCTCCTGAACCAGTCTCACAAACTCAATTGCATTCTGCAGATTGCTCTCATTAATTCTATACAGCAGTTTCTCTTGTGTGTTCTTCTCTATCTTTATTTTACTCGTCTTCAGGTGCTTTACAAACCACCTCTGTGCCTCCTCTGCCGTGGTGTTGTCTACCCGAATCCGCAACAGCCCTGTTTTCATACTTTTGTTGCATAAGAACACAAATGATAGTTTTGCAACTCGTTTTGTAGCCAGAATTCTGTCTATTTGCTCCCTTGTTAGCATTTCACTGTTTCTCACCAGAATTAGCCTCGTCTCTATCGTAATCTTCTTTTCCTTGCTCCATCTCGTAATCTGCTGGTCCACATCGTCCCTGACATCCCTTGGTGCCTGTTTTGTAGCATAGAGCCCCTCTAAATCCTTCCTCTTGCAATTTATTGCATCCACCTGTGCCAATGTCAGCCTTGTCTTCACCACTTCCTTCTTGAAACAGTCTCCAACTGGTATCTCGACCAGTTCCTCAACCACATTCGTGTTGTCTATGACCATTGCTCGTCCCACTCTCGTCACAAACCCACATTCCTTGTAAATCTTCACCACATCTCCAACAGATGCCTTCTCCCTTCTCAATTCATCGTAAATCGTCTTGCCAATCTCAAATCGCGATTCCATGTCTTTGGTCTTCAATTCAATGGCGTATTCTCCCATTTTGGTGAGCTGTCCTTCTGCTACTGCAAACTCGTCGTTGCTTATCACCTCTATGCATTGTCTAACAGTCTCATCCAGTCTATCACATTCTTCAGCACATATTTCGGCCACATCTCTCTTTTCCTTCAGAATTCGCACTACTTCGACCGTGTTAAAGTGCCCAGCCTCTCCCACCAGCGCTATGGAGAGACCTTTATCCACAATTTTCAAAATTTTCTCCACTTGCTGGCACAGCCGCCCTGGTCCAGTTGGTGCCGAGTCTCCTCTTGTTTCTTTCACCATTTTAGGGCAAATATTTTTGTTGTGATGTTCCAGAGCACCCCACTCAAATTTTTCATTGCCTGATTTTGGGGATCTCTACAAATCAGAAACCAACTACCATTTGCACCACATTGGTTCCATGACTAGTTTAGTGCTGAAATAGGCACCAAATTATCATTTAACCAATAAAAACAAACCACAACACCCTTTATGTACAAAACACTTCTTGTGACGGCACTGATCAGCTGTGGCGTGATAGCAGTCACTTTCCTTGTTCCCAATTTCGACTGGATCAAAATGACACAGGTAGATCCAACTAAAGAGTACGAAAGAGAGACAATCAGTTTCACGACGCTACTGATATTTACCATGGCATTTCCACCACTGCTGATATGGCCACTAATCAATATTGAATCAGAATGTGGTCTAATTAACAGGAATCTCTATCTGTTGTCATTCTATACTTCACTTACAGCGAATCTGGCAACAAGTGAATCCATCAAGGTGATCGTAGAGAAAAGACGACCTGATTACAACTCACGTATTATGTACAGTAAGACAATAACCAACAACCTGAAAAGACAAAAGGTAGAAAAAGAAGGCACCAAGAGCTTCCCATCAGGCCACTGTGCCACTGGCTTCTCGTATACGATACTTACGCCTTATTTCCTAAAGAGAGAAGGAAATCCTACAATAACAAGTGTGTTATCATTTATGATTCTATCTGTAGTAGGCGTGATACTGGCAATGACCAGAATAGCAGACAACAGACACGATATCGTAGATGTCAGTGTTGGAATAGCAGTTGGGGTTCTGGTTTCATTGGGCGTGCTTGTTGTACTACGCAACAAGTTGAACCTGACAAGAGAGCTTGAGAAAAATAAGCAGCGAAATGTATCTGATCAAAATGAGCTGTAAATAATTTTTATATCAATTTGAACAGCTTCTCCTTGGTGTTCTTGTTTGTCTCGTATTTGCACCTTTGTTGCAGAAACAGTTTGATTGTAGCCTTCTCTTCCTCATCCAATGCGTAATTCGCCTTGGAGAGTATTCGAAGCAGCTCTTTGATTGTGATTGTTCTGTTTCCAAATATTTTTATCAGTGCCTTTTCATTCAGAACCTTCTTGTTCTTTTTGGCTTCCTCAATTGGCTCCTCTTGCGTCTCTTCTGCGTACGTCTTTGGATTTGTCGTATCCAATTCATCAACCAAATGCTGCAATCTGCTTCCACTCTCAGTCAGCTTCTTCGTCTTCTGAATGTAAACAATTTTATCAGTTGCATCGTCATCATCAAAGTGTTCGTCAAAATCTACTCCTTCATTGGACGGCTCAGAGACGTCATTTACTGCCGTCTTGTTCAATGATTTCGTCATTTTATCCACTTCCTGCTCACTTACAACTGTCATATTCTTCAATGTGAAATTGTACCACCTTTCTACATCAAATATTTCTAAATCATCACCAGCCTCTAAGAACACAAAATAGTCCATTTGCTCTGAAACAGTCTGCATTTTGGCCTGATAACACCTGTTTTCACTATTATACACCAAATATGGTCTCTCTTCCTCGTTCTTCAGTCTCTTGTACTCCTCACTCTCATATACTACTATTTCACTCTTTCCATTGCTAAATGTCTCCTTCTCGTCCTCGTAGACTTCCTTCGTCCCTCGATCCAGTTGTAGACCTCCTTTCATCCTCTCTACGTCCAAGTTGTTGAATACACACATCTTCTTGTTCTTGTAAATGAGATTGTACTTTTTCATAGGCTAAAAATGCAGCATTTATTTCACATCCTTCTCTTACATTCTTTGCGTATGCTCTTAACAAGGCCATAGAAATCCAAATCATTTTGGTACAGAATATTGAGGCTCTCTGCATTCAGGGCTGGTTCAGACTCAACAAGTGGCCTATCTAGAGCCAAATCGAAAAGTGCCCAACACCTACGGCCTTCTACCCTGAAGTAGATCTTCACTACGTTGTTTCTAATTCTCTTTATATCCAGGCCACAATATTTCTTGTATAGTTCGTTTTGATCCAAAAACACCCTTGATTCCTCCCCAAACTTCACTCCCAGATTGAATTTCCTCACCATCAAGTTCTCTATGTCTTCCTCTATGTCACATATGTTTTGTTCAAGCATTTCGTACGTGTTTTGTAGGTCTCTCTCATTCTGCTTGTAACCGCTATTCTCTTTTTCAATTTCAGCCATCTCGTTCTCATCCAGCCCAAGCTGCCTGTTGAGATTCTCCTTGCTCCTCTGCAGCTGCTGCAGAACACGCCTGATTCCCTCAGCTTCTTTCACCAAATTCGCATTCTCGTCCAAAATGTTTTTCTCGCCTTGCGCAGCCGTCTGTTTGAGATTCGCCACCTTCTCCCTTGCATCGTTCACTCTATAGCACACCGTCTTCTTGATGCTCTCGATCGTCTCTTTTATTTTTGACGCATCATCGCCTATCTCCCTGTACATTTGAGGATGAAAATGTCAAACATTTCAAAGAAACTTCATTCATGGCAGAAATCAATGTAGATACGCCATCACGACCAACAACAGATTCCATAATATCAATAATCAGGCCAATAAATCATCTATTTTCTACCCATATGGCAATATTAAGTGACTTATTAAAGTATATTCAAAATAGAGACCACAAGAAGATTGCTGAACTAATAGCAGATGAAAGAGCAGTATTAGAATTAGATACAAATGAGTGTGATGGACTGTTTAGACGCGTGCTTGTTGCAGTGAAGCAGTTTTACAAAGAGAAATCGCATAATTCAGCTGAAAAATGTGTAAAATTATTTTATGACTTGCATATGGATGATCTGTTTGTGGTATACAGGCAGATCATCATCATGTTGCTCAGAAGAGACATTGAAATTGATCTAATTCAGGCATTTACGTTCTACAGAACCAAGAATGAGAAATACCTGAATTTTCTGTTCAACTCAATTTGCTTCTTGAAATACGAAAGAAACAAGAACACGAACCTGAATGATTTGGTTGAGTTACTGCCTGAAAAACCAACCAGAAACACAGACTATTACGTCATGGAATACTATAAAGGAATCGTATTCATCAACGACGAGAAGCTGTTTGAAGGATACGAAGCACTGTTGAAAGCAGCAAAATGCACCAAATTGCTTAATCCAGTTCTAGATCGAATCAAACACGTGAATCTGTTCAGTAGAAACAGAATTGTACGAAAACAGAATGAGTTACTGGTTAAAACAGTCTGCGGTGGATTGGTTGACTGTGTAAACCACGTTATTCCAGTCACAGACGTCTTTTATACGGTGATACAGAAATATACGCCACTTGTCTGTTACAGGAATCTCATCCAAAACTACCACAATTCCATTGAAAGAAACAAGATCGATTTGAATCCACTGCTTGCAGCCGTGGCCGTGGACGAAGGCGTCTTCTTCCTGAACATCCTGAAATGCATCGATCTTGGAATCATTCGTGGATACCTGAGCATCAACAAGAAGGTGCTGGTGCTCTCTAAAGCAATGCCATTTCCTGATTTAGTAAATTGATCTATTCACTTGATTTATTCATTTTGTACAAATAGTTGATGAATGGTGGGAGTGATCCACTTGTTTTGAACAACTTGAACATGTTCTTCTCGCTCTTGATGCTCTGCTCAATCCTGTTCTTCACGTTGATCGATTCCAGTCGCTCCTTTGTTTCTGGTGCAGGCGTGTTTCTGTACGTGTGAGTTGCTGGAAACTCTGGCATGAAATCGTAGATGTGAATGAATTTCTCACTTTTATTGGCCAGGGGACTCTCCCATTCCACATTTTCAACAAGTTGCTCAAATTGCAACCTCTCTTCCACTCCAATCACGTCGTACACGTCCATGCTGATGCTGCTCATTCTGTGACCTGTTTTGATCAGATCAAATCCATTTGCATTCACTCGGCCACAGTGCTGCACATTCGATTGGAGAATACGGAGATTCTCATCCAGCAACTCCCCAAGAGCAGAGACAGTCAAAGCTAATGCCCTCGTGTTTGTTGAATCAAATCCAGCCTCTCTGAACACTTTCGCAGCCAACACCGTTAGAATCTCGTCACTTTGATCCCCTGTCATTTTGGGTTGCATAAATCATCAATAACAATTTGTTCGTCGCATTCTTCTACATTCCCCATTGCTATTTCACGGAGATTTAGCTCAGTGGGAGAGCATCGCACTGAAGATGCGGCGGTCCCGGGTTCAATCCCCGGAATCTCCACTTTTTCCCACCTGAAACACTCTGCGACAATCCGTTTCAGTTCGGTTTAAATCGCCTGGGCGAACAAAACACATGTTGAATCCATTGGGCACGCTATTCGTGTTGAATGCGACAAATATCACGGCCTCCACACCGGGATGCACAGACGATGAGGCCACGTACATCGTCAACTTCCGTGCACACATCCAGCGAGACATTCAGGAAGCACTCGTTTCGGTCAATTCGAAAACAAAGGGGTCGGGCCTAACTAACGAATACATCGCACAGGACGGTGAAAGTGCAGCAATGGCAGCAAGCAAGTCGTATCTTGGAACAGTTCTGGAGGAGTTGAACATGGAGCTGTTCCCATTCAAGGTCCAGGCCAATCTGGTGCTGGATCCACTTGAGCTGGACCAGGTTGGAAACATGGGAAGCGCAGACCCATCGTGTGAGATAGGAGATGCACTGAAGTCGAGGACTCAGCTCGCCTACAACTCGCTCGTCGATAAGTTCGGTGACTTCGTTGGAATCCACTTCTTCATATTCAGCTGCATAGTCGCAAAGGACGCCTATTCACCAGTGCACGTCATCGAAAAGGACACCTGTGGCCGTGTTGTTGGTGTCATGTGGAATGGAACAGATGACACCAAGGGCGTATTGAAGTCTGCCATAATGCAGGCTATGACTGGCATACCAAACATGTTTGCAAATGGTAAAATGGGATTGGCAGACAAGAGCCCAATGTGCGTGTTCACCGAGGGATGCATTTCCACAGTCACAAGTGCCCTGGGCCAGCTTGTTCCAGGCCACCTTCACGTCACATTCACCAAGAAGCCAAAGGATGCCGTAAAGAGCCTTGCTGGAAAGGTAGGAAGCGTAGCAGACGCCCTGAACCCAATAAAGGCCTTCTCTCGATCCAGGGGGTAGTTAGTGAGTATAAATTACGAATGACTTGATTTGTTCAAAAATAGTCCCCATGAAAAACGACTTGGTTGAATTGTTCTTCAGAGAAAAGAGTCTGGTGCGACAGCACATCGAATCGTACGACTACTTCATTGAGAAGGAGATCCACGAGATTGTTCAGGCCAATAACACGGTGGTCTCCGATATAGATCACTGCTTCTATTTGCGATACCTAGGCATTCGCATTGAGTTTCCCACGTTCGTGGAGAATATGGTGGAGCAGAGTGTGTATCCACAGGAGTGTAGAACACGTGATATCACGTATTCAGCCAACATACTCGTGGATATCGAGTATACGAAGAATAAACAGAAAATAATCAAGAAAAATGTGCACCTGGGAAAGATGCCAATTATGCTACGAAGCAGCAGGTGCCATTTGGAGAGCTATGCTGGGACCAAAGTAGGCGGAAACAGGCTGAAAGACCACAAGGCGCAAGAATGTGTCTATGATAATGGTGGATACTTCATCATAAGAGGAGTGGAAAAAGTGATTCAAATTCAGGAGCAATTGAGTCGAAATAGAATCATTCTGGAGACAGGAAAAGGAGGAATCTACAGCTCAGTGACATCTGCAAGCATCAAGCACAAGAGCAAGACGAATGTGATTTACAAGAATGAGGTATTTTATGTACAGAGCAACATTTTCACTGAGGATGTTCCAGCACTGGTTGTGATTAAGGCAATGGGAGTTGAGAAGTGTAGGGAGATCTACGAGTATCTGGGCATTGAGTGTGCTGAATTGATCGAATACAGCTACGACGAGATCTATTTCAGGCGAATATTCAGCAAATCTGCTGCACTTCTGGAATTGTCCAAATTCGTGAAGCTCAAGGCAGATGAGGACCCAGAGAAGGGAACTGAGAGGCTTCTGAGGGACAAAATCCTCCCAAATGTCGAATGCAGCGTCAACCTGAGAAACAAGGCCATTTATTTGTGTCTGATGATTCGTAAATGCGTTCTGGCCAAGAAGGGACACCTTCAGACAGACGACAAGGACTATCTCGGCAACAAGCGATTTGAGCTGGCTGGGCAGATGCTGTCGATTCTGTTTGAAGACACCTTCAAGAAATTCAACTTCGAATTCAAGAAATCGATTGATAAGATCCTGAGCAAGAGAATCAGAACATCTGAATTTGATGCACTGACGTTCTTCAACCTGCAAACTGGGTCGATTTCAAGCACGTTGAACAGGGCCATTTCTTCTGGAAACTGGAACCTGAAGAGATTCAGAATGGAGCGAAGTGGAGTCACCCACGTTCTGACTCGCTACAGCTACATCACTGCCCTGGGGATGATGACGAAGATCAACAGCCACTTTGAGAAGACGAGGAAGGTCTCTGGCCCCAGATCGTTGCACACGTCCTCCTGGGGGATGTTCTGCCCAGCCGATACGCCTGAAGGAGAGAGCTGTGGCCTGGTCAAGAACCTGGCTCTTCTTGCTGAAATATCAACTGATTCTGATTCAGGGGCCACTGAACGCGTTCTGGCTGAACTCGGTGTCACCGAAGTGGCTGACTCGTCTCCATCTGCCTTCTACGCCCCATCCAACTTCCTGGTCTACGTCAATGGGAGTCTCTTTGGTCTCTGTCAAAATCCAGTCAAATTGGCCCAGAAATTCAGGGAAATCAGGCGAAGTGGCCTCCTTGACAAATTTGTCTCGATCTTCTTCAACAAAAAGGAACAGGCTCTCTACGTCTCCACCGACAATGGGCGAATCTGCAGGCCACTTGTGATCGTAGCCAAAGAAAATGCATTTTGGGCAGATCGTCAAATCAGAGAAAATGCCCTAAAAAACAGGACATTCACTGATTTGGTCACAGGCGGATTCATCGAATACCTGGACGTGAACGAAGAGAACGACTCGCTGGTCGCACTGAGCAAAGGGGCTCTTGGCCCAGCCCACACGCACCTGGAGGTCGCAGACTGTGCCATTCTGAGCCTCGTTGCTGCCACTGTTCCATTTCCCCATCACAATCAGTCGCCACGAAACACGTATCAATGTGCCATGGGAAAGCAGGCAGTGGGCCACGTGGCAACAAATGCAAAGAAGAGGAGTGATCTGCTGATGCTAAAGATGAACTACACCCAGAGACCACTTGCCTCCTCCCTCGTGCTCTCTCTGAATCGATACAACCTGATTCCAGCTGGGTTGAATGCGATGGTGGCTGTGATGAATTACACGGGATACGACATCGAGGACGCAGTGGTGCTGAACAAGCAGGCGATTGACAGGGGATTTGCTCGTGTTGAGGTCTACAGGACGCTGAAGATCGAGTTGAATCGATGTGAAAATGGGCGACTTGAAGAAATCCACTCAGAAGGGGGCGTAGAGCAAGTCGTGGGCCCAGGGACTCTGGTTCGAGAAGGAGACGCCTTGTTGAGCAAAGTGAGGCCCGATAGGACGGTAAGGACAGTCAGACACAAAGGAAGAGCAGCCTACGTCGATAGGGTCATTCTCACAAGGGGGGAAGATGATCCATTTGTGAAAATAGTTTTCAGGGAGACGCGAGTGCCTGAGATTGGCGACAAATTCAGCAGCAGACACGGCCAGAAGGGCGTAGTTGGCCTTGTTGTCCAGCAATGCGACATGCCATTCAACGAACAGGGCATTTCCCCTGATATTGTCATGAATCCACATGGATTTCCATCAAGAATGACAGTGGGGAAGATTCTTGAGCAGATTTCAGGCAAAGCAGCCTGTTGCACCGGAAACTACGCAGATGCAACTGCCTTTGAGGACAATTCGGCACCTGGAGCCGAGACACAGGTTGAGAAGACGTGTTCTGATTTGGTAGCACATGGATTCAGCTACTCTGGGAAGGACGTCTTCACAAGTGGCGTCACTGGGGAGCAGTTTGAGTCGTTCGTCTTCTTTGGCCCCATTTTCTATCAGAGACTGAAACACATGGTCGCTGATAAAATCCATTGCAGGGCCCGTGGGCCTAGGGCTGTTTTAACAAGGCAGCCAACTGAAGGAAGGCAGAAAGACGGCGGATTGCGACTGGGAGAGATGGAACGAGACTGTTTGATTGGATACGGAGCAAGTGCGCTGCTCAGCGAGAGACTCATGCACTGTTCAGACGAGTTCGATGCCCACGTCTGTGCCAAATGCGGCGTAATCTGCTACAAAGTCAGGTGCAGTCTCTGTGGAATGAAGCCAGTTGTGGTGAAGATGCCGTACGCCTGCAAACTGCTCTTTCAGGAACTGATGGCAATGAACATTCTGCCTAAAATAGGCCTGGTTACTGGAAAATAGTTGCCCATTCTAAGGCATTTCAACAGTGCTTAATTATTTAGGGTGAAAGACTAGGCATATTCTCCAATGGTCATTTCCGCCTTATAAACTCATCGTACGTCATTTCGTAGACCTGCTTATTCTCAACCAGGAGTATTTTGTCAAACAGTCGCAGCAGATCGTGGTTGTGGACTATTGCGACCACAATTCGATCACTTGGCTGAAGCAGCTTCTCCAGAATCGCCCTTTCCGACACCCTGTCCATGCTTGCTGTTGGCTCGTCCAGTAGCCAGACTGACGCATTCTTCAGGTACGCCCGAATCACCGCAATCTTCTGCCTCTCTCCGCCACTGATGGCTCCACCATTCTCCCCACAGACCGTCTGATACTTGTTTCCGAGTCTCTCAATCGACTCGTGGAGTCCAAGCTGAATTGCTGCCTTGTACACCTGCTCATCGTACACATTTGTTCCATATTTTATGTTATAGAGAACTGTCTCATTAAAGAGACTCGCTGACTGGGGAACATAGGCAAATAGCTCCTTGTAGTTCTGCTCAGAGAGGTCCTCTCGCTTGAATTGGTCGCAGAATATCTGTGCATCGGACGTGTTGAATCGCATCAGACTCTTCAGCAGCGTCGACTTCCCAGTCCCATTCTCCCCTACCACTGCTATTTTATCGCCCTTGTTCAGGCTGAAATTGACTCGATCCAGAATCAGTCGCGTATCGTAGCCGTACGACATGTCGTAGACTCCAACACGCTCCTTGATGCGAAACAGCTTCTTGGCCGTCTGCTTCTTCGTCCTCGTCTTCAGATTCGTGCGCCTGATGTTGATCATTCCCGTCTTGTACTTCCCGTACATGAATCCCAGGTTGTCGAGGGAGGAATGGAAGATCCCGAGAATCGAGACCGTGTACGAGAGCTCCTCTGCCAGCATCCCTCGTTTGAATATGCACAGAAACAGAATTGTGAAGAAGATTTGCCCAGCCCAGACGCACCCCTGAACCAGGTTCAAAAGGTAGAGCGTCCGACTCAAAAGAGACTCCTTTTTGGTCGCAGGTGTCAGATACCCATCGTACCGCCTTGTTTCGTACTCCTCAGTTCCATAGGCGAATATCGTCTCGTAGTTGCTGAGGCCATCATTCAGCACGTTCTGGCTGTTGTCCTGCGTCTCATTCAGCTGGATGCGAATGTTGTTGCGCCAGATGGTGATTTGAATCGTGGCGACGATGTAGACGCAGACAGCGAAGACAACGATGAACGTGGCAACCACGCCCAGCGTGAGGATGATGTTCGAGCATGCGACGGTCATCGTGATCAGAAACGGCAGGAAGTGCATCGTGAGCACGTCCAGGATGTCCTTCACTGCCTCGGCCTTGCGCTGGATGATGTTCTGCATTTCGCCCTTTGGAATGGCCTTGAAGTCCTCAGGCTGAAGACACAGGAAGTATTCGTAGGCCTTTTTGTTAGCAATTTGGTAGCCAACGTGTCTGGCCTTGGAGATGTAGAAGTAGCCCAGGTTTGAGATGACCACGTTGGCAAAGAGGCACATTCCGTAGTAGAAGACCATTTTGTACCTGAAGGTCGACGAAATCAGGGACTTCGTGATGTCCATCAGGTAGGCAGATGCCTTCACGTAGAACATTTTGGACAGAATGAATGCAGTCAGTGATGGGAAGACGAGTCTCCTTATTTCAGATTCGCCTATCACGTATTCCCTCAATATGCTCACTAGAATTTGAAAGTCTGTTTTATCTTTATTGGACTTCATTTTGGTAAACAGACTGTCGTTTTTATTGTCTGGTTTCAGTATATTTTGCTGATTTGCAATTGGAGTGTAAATATTTTGGTCTGTTTTAGACTGGGGAAGAAGAGAGGTGCTTTCTAAAGGTGTCATTAAAGGGGCCATGAAAATATTTATCAAGACGAACATAGGCTGTGTACTCGACAAGGTCGACTGTGACCTGTTTAACAGGCTGAATAGGAACAAGGAGCATACGATGCAGTTTACGGAGAAGGAGAGTGGCATTCTGACACTGGGATTGGAGTATTCTGGTTCAAAATATGTTGTAAAATGTTACGGTATGGAAAGAGAGTACGATGAACTACAAGATGGATTCGACAATCTGGTGATGGGAATATTCAACCATAGGAGACTGAATGCATTTGGGTTTACAGTACGAGATGAGAAGGGGAAGAGTTTCAGGCCAAGAATACCAATATTCTACGGAGACCCAGGGTTTGTGGTATCAGAAGAGATTAAGTACATTAAGGGAGTATTTAGTATCAGAAATCCAATTGATATTGAGATATTTCATAATAGTGAAGTACTGGATGCACTGTTAGAATCAACTGAGTTACACTTTGTGGATGATAATGATTTGTTCAAATTGTATAAGAATGAAAATAAGACAATGATGCAATTGGAGAAGAAGGTGACCAGTAGAGTACACAATACACTCTCATACGTCACCAATTCAGTCCAGAAACAGTCAATATTCAACATAATCAGCAAGAGAGTCCCTGATTTCAAAATGGAATCAATGCCAGTCTTCATAACTGAGACACTCAACAAAATAGGCAAAAATGAGAAAGTGAATTCTGATCAAATGGAACTGTTTGTGGAGTTGATTGGAAATGTGCCAGATGGAGACAGTCGAGTCACGAACCTGATTGTGGCACTACAGCAGTACATTCTGCAGCACGGGAGCTATGACAAGGTGGTTAGAGGAGCATTCACTGATTTCAAGAAGAGCCACTCCGTGAAAAGACGAACTAATGGAACACTTGGTGGACTAAAATTTGATTGATTTTATACACATTTTGAATCACCCCATGAAAACCAACTTTGAGAGAGACCTTGAATTCGTGCAGATGCTCTGCAATCCAGAGTACCTGAGATGGCTCTACAACGGAGACTGGTTCAGAAAGGAGGAATTCAGGCTGTATCTCAGGAGACTGCGATACTTTGGTAGTCCGAAATTCAGGGTGTTTCTGCACTATCCACAGTGCATGGCCGTCCTAGAGCGAATCATCGAAGACGAGTCAACCCTGGAAAAGGAGTCCTTTTACGAGCAGCTTGAGAAGCAGCAATTTTTTATCTGGAAGAATTCATAAAAATAATGCGGAAGGGATTCGAACCCTCGCCTAAATTAATAGACTGGAACCTAAATCCAGCGCCTTAGACCGCTCGGCCACCGCATCTAAAAATTCCCCATAGGTGCATAAAGTGGTAGAATGTTCAGCAAAAGATCCCCTGAAAATGTTTCAAAACAACAAGAACGAGCAGAAGCAGTCGGGTGGCTCTGGGACGCTGATTGCGTGCACGACGTGCGGGAAGCTGTGCTTTGGACACTGCCCAAACTGCTCATCGACCAAACTGCCCGTAAACAAACCACCATTTCAGCCTGGTGCTGGAACAAGTCACCCGAATTCACCAAGAGCGAAACAGACGCTCTTCGATGCCAATTTCCACCAGAATCTCGCAACAAACAGCACCTCGATGCTCTTCAGCAAACAGGGAAATGAGTTCAGATGGCATCCCAGGCCAGTCAGAAAGCAGACGCCTGTTCTGAAGAAGCAGGTTGGACCAGACTACACCAAACAGTTTCTGGCTGAAAACGACTTCGTCTTTGACAGGTCGAGGAGACCAAGCAACTTGGATCTGCTCGAAGACTGCAGCCGAAACCAAAGGCGGTCTCCTGGCTCCCAGTTCAAGTTCACCAACACCTTTGCACCTGAGTTGAATTCACCAAATTTGAGGAAGCAGGCCGCCTACGATCCGTACAGAATGGGCCACCCCCAGGGAATGCAGCAGATTCATCGGTCACCCACGTCGCAGCAGAACAGGCCAAGAAGGCCCTTTGTGCCCACGATCGACCTGAATCTGAGTCTCTCGGCCGAAAATATGCGGAATCTCCTGAACATTGTTCCCGTTTACTACCAAATTGACACAAAGGGGCAGCTCATTGGAAATCACCTGATTGAGAAGAACAGGCGGAAGAAGTAGATCAGTGCTTTCTGGCCACGGAGTCGCTCTCCTTGAAGACCTTCTCCATTCTGCTGGTGAATTTCTTCTTGTTTTCTTCACTTATGTTTGTCTTTTTACTGATCAATATTTCAATCAATTTCTGATCAATTCCGTCTTTGGAGAGAAGCAGTGATTTCAGCTCGAGACCAAACATCTCGTCGTTGCTCGTCTCCAGCAGAGGCGCCAGCTTCAGCATCGGTGCGAATATCTCATCCAAATCAGTCGCATTCACGTACGTCCCAAATAGATCAAGAAGCCGCTTGTGGTCTCTCTTCAGGTTTGGAACAGTCTCCGAATCAATGACGGCCTTTTTGCTTCCGATTCTACTGAAATAGACGCCAACGATTCCCTCGCACAATTCGTGGCAGAATGTCAGATACGTGAAATCAGCCATAGCAAGCTGATAGTCCTGTAGGAAGTCTTCGAGCGTAACGAGCAGGACGCTGATTCCCTTGTCCCAGGCACCGCCAAACAGCTTCTCAGTCGCAGGCCTGCACGTGAATACGACGTATTTGGCCAGGAAGCTGTTGCACGTCTTCAGAATTCCAATGAAAATGTTGCCTAGTTCCCTGACTTCGTCTGATTGGCACTGTGGGAAACTTGTGATGTATTGCGTCAGCTTCAGTCCGCTGTTTCCGAATACGATGCAGTAGTCTTCGTAGCCAGGCTTGCTCTTTCCAGCACAGCTGGGAGAGAAGTCCTTTTCCACCTCAGCACAGATTCGCTGCCTGAATACGTCACAATACTCCCTGACTGTTTTGGTGATGTACAAAAAGACCTTTTTGTTGAATGAAATTGGCTCCAACTGCACCTTGATCATCTGAAGCAGGTTGATGAAGCCAGTTGAAATCAGCTTGTCGTCCTCGTCCTTGCTCAGATCACTGTCTCGTGTCACAAACTTCTCAATCTCGTTTTTGGTGATCGTATCAATCCACGTGCTCAACTTCACTGATGCCGTCTTTGCGTACTTCTCCAGCAGCTCGTTCTCGTTGTCAAAGAGCTTTGGTCCCAGTCCTTCTGCAATCTTGTTGTATTTTGATTCAATTGTCGTGTAATAGCTCGTCTTGAATTCAATCAGCTTCAGAATCTCCCCTGCGTCCATGTCATCCAAGTTCCGCCCTATTGCGCCTCTTAGGCGACTGTGATACTCTTCCAGAAATGCAGTGAACGTGAAGAAGTTCAATATGACGTGGTTGTAGATGAAGTCGATGTCTTCGAGTACGAAATCAAGTGACGTCACGAAGGTCTCCTTGTCCAGGTTGAACTTCTCCTGAATGCTGCTCTTTATCACCCCAATGATCTGCTCTTTCAGGTGCTTTGGCTTCCTTGTGATGTATCGTGGATACATGCGCGTAATCTGCTTCAGAATCTCATCTCGTCCCTTCTCCCCCTCCTTCGCCTGCTCAGTCAGCCTGTCTCGCTCCTCCTCCTGTTCCACAATCTGATTCACCTTTCCCAGGACACTCGCGTTCTCCTTGAAGTCCTTGACCACGTTCAGAATGAACAAGGTGAATTCCAGTGACTGCTTTTTGATGACTCGAGTTGCCTCCTCGATCTTAGGCAGGTCTTCTCCAGCAATATCAACGTTGAATTGCTCCAACTCACACATGAACTCCTCCTTGGCGTAGACACGGCTGTGATAGACCTCAATATCATCATCAGTGATCTCATCATCAATTTCCTTCAGGTTCTCCATGATGAATTTGATCTTCAGAAATCGCTGATGAGCCAGGCAGACTGTCTTCACCAGCTTGTAGTCCTTGATCAGGTCGTTGAATCCAGCCAGAATATCCAGGTTCTTCGCCTTGATCTTGTCAAATGTCTCGATCTTTTCTCCCATTCTTGCATAATCTGCATTGAGTCTCCTGACTTCTGAATACGCCAGTGACATTTTGCTGTTGAACTTCTTCTGATGCACCTCGTAGCTGCTCTTTGACTCCTTCTCGATGTTCTGCAGCTTGGAACTGATGTCACTGGGATGTCTCAGTGTCTCAGACAAGTCAAAAAGGGCCTTGGTCATTTGGGGTTCAAAACAAACAGAATCAGCAACACGTGGCATCACCAACCTGAGAATATTTAATGAGTTTATTAGTAGGGATAAAAATACAACTACGATAATACAAGTACGACTCCTTCTTCACTGTTTATTGCATTCTTTCTCTTCTCTTTTTGCTTATGTGTAGCAGCCAGTCCAGAAACATTCCAGCATACGTTTTGAGTGGCTTGTTTGGATTCTTAACAAACAGGACGTCGTCTGTTGCACTCATGCTGAAGAACATGCAGAATGGAGTGAGCCACACAATCACAAATGCAAATACTATCATGAATATGCTGCCACTTTTGTCAAAGAAGAATTTTATCATGAGGAAGTGGTTAACCAGGCTGCCAAGAACAGCGCCTATGAATTTGGGATCCTCTGGCTTGATTGCTGGATACGTGTGCATCAGAATGTTGAATGTGTACTGGATTCCTAGTCCAAGAAGAAGATGCAGAAATGACATGCCCTTGAGCATGAAGAATATGTAACAGGCCATAGTGAAGTATATTATCTTCACAATCTTCTCTTTGGCCGCATATGTGTTCTCTTCTATGTACTCAATTGACCTGATGGTGACAATACACACTCCTATGACAGCAGCAACAATTGTCACGAAAATGCCTGAAACCTTTAGGAATTCTAGGAACATGGTGGGGTAAAAGTTGTGAGATTTTTCTGGGGAAAAATGAACAAGGCGTCTTGGATTGGGCAACTTCTCTTTTACTCGATGCATAAAAGAAAGATGAATTTTACGCCCTAAATGACATTGTTGGACTACGGAAACAAATACAATGAGAATGGAAAGAACCTACAGGTTGAATACGCGAAGAAGATGCTGAACAAGTCTCCGAGCTGTATTGGTGTGAAGAACAGCAAGGGTGCAGTTCTTGCTTCTCTCAAGCCAGTTCAGAGCAAATTGCACAAACAGCAAACAGAAGAAGGCATCTTCAAAATTAGTGAAAACTGCTACATTACGGCAACTGGAATAGAACCAGATAAGATATTCATCATTGAGGAAATGAAGCGCATTGCATCAGAATACAAAAAGACGTTCAATTCTGAGATTTCTAGCGAATATTTAAGGAATCAGCTCAATGAATACATTCTCCATTTCAACTCAAACATGGGATTGAGAGTGTTAGGCTGTGAATTCCTGGTCGCAATGCGTGAATCAGAGAAGTATACGCTATTTCTGGCTGAGAACAATGGATCCATTTTGAGGCAGACTGGTGCTGTGATTGGATCCATGCACAGAAGTGCAAAGACAGAACTAGAAAAATACAACTTTGAGGAGTTGTCTCTTGAACAGCTGGTCGATGCGGCTGTTAGGACGTTCTATGTCTCATTTGATGCTCTCGTAGACAAGGAATTCGTATTGGATGTTGGAATAATAGGAAATGAGACAAATGGTCATTTTAACAGGTTGAGTGAAGATGAATTGCACAAATATGCAGAGAAATACAAGGAACTGTCATTTGAAAACAGTTGAAATAAATAGCTCATTGAATATTCTGATCCATTTCTCTCAATGTCGTAACTGGGATAAATTTGACACCATGGAACAAGAATTCTTTGATGTCGTAACAAAAGGAACATCCTTGTTTGAACTAAAGGGCATTAACCTGGAGAAGAAGACCATTGTTGTGGATAACGTGGACGTGTATGGCACCAGCTACAGGCTGAGTGAGCTAAAAAGAGCAGTTCCAGGCCATATTACGCAATTCAGAGTAAACAAGGACACTGACCTGGAAGTGACGATTGAAACAATTCCACACTTCCTAAGCAAGTCCAACTTATTTATAGAGAGACTAAAAGAGACCCCATTCTCTGATAGCATCGACTACATCAAAATAGAGAACATTTTCTACATCACGAAAGAGAATAAAGCAACCAAAATCCCATTCTCCCTAACTGAAATGCATAAAAGTCCCTGTTTCACAAACAGCCTAAGAAACAACGAAGACACCTTGTCATTGAGGGATCTCTATTGGTACAGCAAAGCAATGCGAACAGGAGACATCTCACTCTTTCTACAAAATGCCAGTTCAAATCAGAATCCATTACAAACTGCAATCAGACACAATCTGGTGGATGCTTCTCTCTACAATACGCATCTTCTCTATCCTCAGCATGGGATAACAGCACTCTCAGAATTCATGTCTCTTGCTCTCTCATCACATGGCATCCCATTCTGCCTAAACAGCAAATTGATTGAATCAGAAACTAGTGATCACGGTGAACACAAATTCAGGTTTTCAATTCCAGAAGCAGAAATATTCGCAAAGGAAGTGGTTAGGAGAGAGATGCCAAGAGGAGTAGCCCATGTTCGTGTCATTGTGACTGATTTCTACAAGTTTACAGGCAACTTCAAGGCATTTGTTGAAACTGAACAAGTTGGCTCTTTTGTGACCGTGTACGGTTTGGATGAGATATCGATGTGCGTACCAACTGAGCATCAGCTGCTCTATTTCATTGGTGAATCTGAAATACCTGACAAAACAGTACACAATTTCGTCAGTGACTCTGATTCAATCAAAATGGACGTGGTGTTTCTTCTGAATGTTGATCTTTCAGCCTATGAAAAAGCAATTCAATAAATTTAGTAAAAATATCCCTAATGATAAACATGGCAGTTGTTCCAGACACAAATGTGCTGATATCAAACCTGGAATTTCTGGATGAGTTGCTAGGAATGGATACACCGTATTATATCACGATACACATTGCGAAGATTGTGGTGGTGGAGCTGGATGGTCTCAAAATGACCAAGAATGAAGCACGAATTGCAACAAACTACATAATGGAGAGTGGAAGTGGAAGAATAGAGCTGGAAGGACACATGGACGCAAACAAGGTTGAAATAGACGTAGGAAACAAGCAAAGGATAAAAGAGACGAGCAACGACGATAAAATATTGAACTATGCGATAACATTGGAGAATCCAGTAATTCTGACGAATGACAGGTTGTTTCTCATAAAGTGCAAGATGCACAATGTGCCAGCGGTGAATTTGATGAACAATGACAGATACACCGCCTTGAAAGCCGTATTCAGCCGAGACCACATCGAATACGTCTCAGAGCAGCAGCAGGAACTCAACCAAAAATTGAATTCCTTCTTTTCTGAAATAGCATCCCGGATATGCTACATGGTTCAAGAGGAGTTTGGAGATCTCTACGTCCTGAATTTGTACAACAACGGCTTTCCAGATCTCCTATTTCTGGTCATTCAGCACTATAACATTTTTAGGAAATATCTGCCTAAGAATGGTAAAACATACCTGATTAGATTACGAACGGCAATTCTGACGAGTAACATGACTGAAATATGCAGTAGTGCACGATATGTTGCTGCTATGTTTGAAATTGTGTTAAAATTGTGAATGTGTGTAATTTAGATATTTTTGTGCCTTCTATGGTCAGAAAATTAAATCAAGATCAACCACTAATTGCACCAGTGCCGAAGAAAGTGGGAATAGTGAAGTCTTTCTTCATTCTAATCACTTCTGCACTCTTGTTACAACCCGTACACTTCCATTCCATATCCAATTCCAGAATATTTGGACTAATTCTATCAATTTTCATATCAGTAACAATTATTTTCACTATAGAGTTGTCCAGTTACCTGCAAACGAGGAAGAGAACTAGTCAATTTGTTCTTAAGACGTATTTGACGCTATTAATTCTGATGAAACAGGCCATTTATTCATCAGCAGCACATAATTTGGGAAATCTGTTTGATATTCCTGAGAAATCCAAATTATTTTGCTTATTTGTAGTCAGCAATTTGCATTACGCAGTCATTAGAACAGTAGGATATTTCATCGGAATCAGCTTTGAACTGGTGATGATCATTTCAACGGTGCTATCAAACACGTTTCTGATCTCATCTGTGCTCGTGAATGAGACTCATTTCAACAATAGACGCTGCTTCCTGCTCTCCCTGTTCATCACTACGATCCAGACCATTTTCATTTGTGTCCTACACAATTTCATTGCCTTGAATTATTAGAAAATAAACAACTGAATATTATGATGGATTCATCACATTTTGTGTCTATAGTGTAGTGGTTATCACGTTTGCATCACACGCAAAAGGTCACCAGTTCGAACCTGGTTAGACGCATTTTTTCCCATGCCCAAAAACAGTGACATTTTCTCCCATGACCAAATCAGTAGCTTCTTCATCATCAACTCATCTGGTTCCATGGTCTATGACAGCAACAACAGTTCGAATCCAAACAGATCCATGGTCTTCTGTAGTGCTCTCCACTCCATCTACGCCATGGCCACCACAATAAACCTGTTTGAACTTCCCATTCGGAAGACAGTCCGGGGAATCAACAACTTGTTCACCAACAAATACACTCCTCTCAAGTCACTCGCCTACGATGACGCAAACTACTTCAAAATGACATTTGTGTCAACAGAGCAGATCATCACCCTCTTTAAGACGGTAACTGACATGCTATTCGTCTTCATTGGCAACGAGGAAGTCTCCTACAGCACTTACATCAAAGTATACAGCAATTACGTGCATTTTGTTGTACTGGATCCATTTCACCAATTTGGTCAGCCAATCAAGTCACACAAGTTCCAGTAGTCAAATGAATTTCAGTGATACGACGCATCTAAAACCAATCTGCCTCTCTCAACCACTCCCATTTCTTGTTGTTTTTCCTTTGTTATTTTTGGTGACAAATTTACCCCACAAATGAACAATAGAATTAATGAGATGCTAGCAACGCAGTACGACGACATGGAGTGCTGCTGCGGGTGCTACGAGGAGAACACCGAGGAGCACAACATCGACATCTGCATCAGGGCGGTGTCGAAGCCAGCACAGGCGACAGTGAAGGCGCCTTTTGTAAAAACAGACAAAATCACATTTGCATACACATTCAACAACAGACAGCTCAGCTTCGAGACAGAAGTGTTCATGTCTGGGACAGATGAGATCGTAGACACGCTCATCGTCGATGAAGATAAGCGATACATCTTCATGTTGATGTCAAACAACAAGTTGGTGATTGCGGAATACGGGAATCTCGAGAATCGGGTCAACTTCTGCAAGGACGTCGTACAGATCACGAAGACCGACGATCGAGTCTTCTTTCTGGTGCAGAAGGAGGCACAGACGTACGTGAACGAGTCCACGTTCAAAGACGGCGCATTCACGCACAAGATCGTGAGCACGAAGATGAAGGAGCGCGATCTGAGGCTGATTGGGACGAATGGGAAGTTCTACATTGCGAATGGAAGGAAGTTCTACGACAAAAACATGCGATTCAACTTGGACTACGACGGCGACTTTGTTCACGAATTCGTGGACTACACCGTGGTTGGGAAGAAGGAGGATGGCGCCTATTTGCTCAAACTGTACGAAAACTACAACTGCATTTCCACCCTGACACTTCCAAGCAAGGATTCCGCCTACAAAATCAAGGCGTACGAATGCACAATCGTGTTCTACTGCGATTCACAATTTGTGGTAGTCAGGTTTGATAGTGGTCTTTTGGAGCAGTATGATCAGTGTGACGTAGATTTGATGATTTATGATTTTGATTACTACGTCTACAACCACTGTCTGTTTCTTACGATTCTGACAGACAAGGAGGAATTCGGCCAGGCTGATGGAATTGTGAATTTATCGGACAAAAATGATCCAAAGACACTCGCACACATCAAGGCTACTTCCAATCTCGGTTTCTACCACGATGTGCTTGGTGAAACA